GAACCTTTTAGAGACCGAGTGCCCAAACTGCAACCCCAAACCCACTTATTTATCGCCGGGTACCAGGTGGGCATGGCCCACTGGGTGGGTGTAGCTGTGGTGGTCATGGCAGACTGGGTGGGTGTGGCCAAGGTGGGCATGATCACCTTGATGTTGCTTGTGAGGAGGGACACCTGTGGGGGCCAGGCAAGGTTGGGGGAGATCCAGGGGGTCTCTGGCAGGTGGGGCGGTGGGCAGGAGGCTCGTCCTGCAGGGTGAGGCGAGGCAAGGCAAGGCAAGGCAGGGTGGGGGGTGCCATTGTCACAGGGCAAGTTGAGGCAGGGGCCGGGGTGGCCGCTGCCTGACACCATCGGCCCCCGCACACAGAGGCCAGCGAGCGCATGGGTGCTGGGATGCATCCGGCCACGTGGGACCTCAGCGAGTTAACGGGCAGCTGGTTGAAGAGGGACAGTTGCCATCTCCAGGGCATGGCACGCATGCCCACAGAGAGGGCTCTGAGTGCCGCCTCTGGCACGCGTGCCACAGGTTCGCCACCACTGATATAGAGGTTTAAGTGGTGGCAGGTCCATCCGGGGCGTACATCACTGAAGCTGGCTCCTGGACTAATTAGTTGACTCTATCTCAACCATTTGCTTCCTGCTCCCCCTCTACCCAACTTTTTCACTGCATATTATTGTACGACCACTGTTTATTTTTATTGTGTCATTCATTTGTTATTGTTACGTTTACAATTTTTATCATTCCCCCCCCCCAATGTTATTGTTGTAAGCTACCCAGAGTAGTCCCAGGGCAAGATCGACGGCAAGCAAATTTAACAAATAAATAAATAAATACCTCCTACTTGTTTCTACTCTTTTCCACACAGCAGCCAGTCTGTGAGGAGAGTTGGAACTGAGACAGAAGGAGTGACCCAATGTTATCCAGCTGCTTTCCGTGCCTAAGTTGGGACTAGAAGTCACCATCTCTCAGCTTCTAGCCTGGTGCCTTAACCCAGGAGTCCCCAACCCTGGCAACTGTTGGAATATTCATGTGGTAACTCAGTCAGCCACTGTGAAAAAAGTGCTACTGAGTCTGTGCAAAAGGTATTGAGTTAGAAGCTGAATTTTCAGTCTCAGGTTTGTCTCTGTATCTCCCTGTAAGAAGTCTTCATTAAGCTATGTCACTGTAAAGAAGAATGTATGGTATTGTAAATATTTTGATATAAATATAAAGAAGTTATTTTGAATCAACTAAATGCAGTCAACTGTGAGAGCTTCTGATTTATTTTTTCACCAACAGAGAAATTAAAATTCTCTTAACAGCAACTTTAAGACTTGTGGACTTCAACTCCCAGAATTCCCCAGCCAGCTGTGCTGGCTGGGGAATTCTGGGAGTTGAAGTCCAAAGGTCTTAAAGTTGCCAAGGTTGGGAACCCCTGGGTTAACCACTTGACCAAATTGCTTCTCTAATAGCACTTTAAACTCTAAGATGTGCCTGTCCTGTAACTCATCTTTTCATCTAAACCAGTGTTTTTCAACCTTGACAATTTTAAGGCATGTGGACTTCAACTCTCATTGCTGGCTATGGAATTCTGGGAGTTGAAGTCCACATGCCTTAAAATTGTCAAGGTTGAGAAACACTAAATTCTAAATGAAAAAGCATCACACCCTTTAGCTTATTCTCATAAGGAAGGCCCTCTGAGCATTTAACTACTATTTCAGCTTCTCTTTTCTTTATGGTATGTGGGACAAAGCAGTTGCAAATCGAGCCTTTTCTGTGCACTTCTTCCCATTTCAAATCATGGACAAGTGGGATCCTTGAGAACAAAGAGGGTTTTTTTGTGTTTTTTTAAAGGGACGGTACAGATACACAGCCCAGGACTGAAAGTGAGGTCAGGCAATCTTACTGTCCTAAAATAAAACACTCTTCATAAATGTGGTAGCAACTGGTGGTCAGGAAAGTACCTTTATATGGGAACAGAATGAGGAACCTGGAAGAGCTAAATTGTTCCACCTACTGGGAATCTAAATCTGCTACCATCATCCTCTGTCATGTATCCCAGCAGCCTCAAAGCGCCAAATTCAACTTAAATGGGGCTTTGGATCTGGCTACGTGGATATATGGAATTATTTCCTCTGTTTCTGCGAACCTCTTTCAGTGACACATTAAAAACCTTTTCTTTGGGCGAGAGATGTCTATCTTTGGCCACTTTAAGATATGCTGGCTGAGGAATTCTGGGAGTTGAAGTCCAAAAAATCTTACAGTTGCCAAGGTTAGACACCCCTGGTCTAGGCAGAACATCCTACCTCAAAGGTTATCTCATTTCAATCTTATAACAGCTGCAAGATTACTGGTGGGGCAATATTGGAAGAAAGATTCAGTGCCTCCTATGGAAGAATGGATACTCAAGGTGTCTAATTTAGCAGAAATGGCAAACATTTCCGCTTATTTGAAGGATTATTCACAAGAAAGATATATTTCGGTTTGGAGAAGATGGATAGATTATATTCAGAATAAATATGAGACTAAAAAGCATTATCTAGCTTATGAGTAAATTTTAGATTATTACTAATAATTTAATATGGTTGAATTTATATTATTTTTAGTATTACGGTTTAACTATATTATTATTTTCCTTTTTAATTTGTTAATATTTATTTTGAAAAGGAGTTGAAGTATATTATGGATTTGATTGTTAGTAGAGTTGGGTAATGTTAGTTAGATTATGATTGTTTATTTGTAACCCTGTAATCAGCTCTGGAAAGTGGGGGAGGGGTGGGGGGGAGGGATTTGGGATATATATTGTATAAAATTTTTAACACTTATTATAATAATAATAATAATAATAATAATAATAATACTACAAAGACCTACAAATAGAAATAGAAAGACTGTGGCAAAAGAAAGCAAGGGTAGTACCAATAGTCATAGGCGCCTTGGGTGCAATCCCAAAACAACTGGAGCACCACTTGAACACCATTGGCATTGACAAATTCGCTATTAGTCAATTGCAAAAGGCGGCCTTACTAGGAACTGCTTCCATCCTGCGACGATATCTGTAATACCATCAAACATCCACATCTGCCTATCCCAGGTCCTGGGTAAGGACTCGATAGGTAGACAAAATGCCAAATCCAGTCTGAACATCTGGCTGACTGTACGATGATCCATAATAATAGGTTATCTCATTTCTTCCTTGCTTCCATTACATTCCCAGCATACACACCTCCCGGCACTGCTGCCAGTCAGTTCTAAATTCAGATGACTATTCCTTCCTGCTCCAGGCACAGAACCCTAGTCCACAGCCCGGGGTTTGGCGACCCCTGCTCTACAACATTTAAACTGAGATGAGGCAATGTGAGACTCTCAATATTTCTGCGGCTACAATTTCTACAATCTCTGGCGATCAGTTCTGCGGGCTAGAACTAAGGGAAACTGAGATACAAAACTTTAGAAGGCACAACTGCTTCCTCCTGTTACGAAGCCCTAAGGCCCACCCCCACTCGGTATAGTGGAGCATTACAAAGCTTTTGTGCAATTCTCACCCTGCCCAATTTCCAGAAGCCACGTAATCCCAATTTGCTCTCCAAGTTTGGTTAAGAGTTAATTTGGTGCTCATTGGTGAGAAGAGTACCTCAAGTAGAAGGGTTATACAGGCAGCATCCACTTTTTAACTACATTCAGAAACATTCAGAGGGCAGACAGGTCATGGCAGGTTAATGTTGGGTTCGCCAAGATGAACCTTTTCAGAAGACGAGGGGGGGGGGACACGATAGCAGTGTTCCAATATCTCAGGGGCTGCCCCAAAGAAGAGGGAGTCAAGCTATTCTCCAAAGCCCCTGAAGGCAGGACAAGAAGCAACGGATGGAAATTCATCAAGGAGAGAAGCAACCTGGAACTAAGGAGAAACTTCCTGACAGTTAGAACAATTAACCAGTGGAACAACCTGCCTCCAGATGTTGTGAATGCTCCAATACTGGAAGTTTTTAAGACAAGATTGGGCAGCCATTTGTCTGAAATGGTATAGGGTTTCCTGAGCAGGGGGTTGAACTAGATGACCTTCAAGGTCCCTTCCAACTCCTCCTCCTCCTCATTACTATTATTATTATTATTATTATTATTATTATTATTATTATTATTATTACTACTACTACTATTATCTGGGGGTTCTGTAACTTCATACCACTTCAGCCTCAGTCAGCGTGACTAATGTAGCTGAGCATCATTGGGAAAGCAACAGCTTTCCCGTGCCTCCTCTACGGACAGATTTCCTTGCTGCATAAAGACCACACGAAGGCCATGTTTGCAATCAGTGTGTGTGTGTGTGTGTTTATGTGTGTGTGCACGCGCGCGCTTGTGTGTGTAGGAATACCCCATGCCCTCTCCCAGTGCTTCAAGATAAGAATATGAAATGGCACCGTGTGTGTGTGTGTGTGTGTGTGTGTGTGTGTGTGTGTGTCTTAAAATGCCTTTTTAAAGCAGCAATCCAAATTAATTCACACCCGGGCACTGAGCATTTCAGCTTCCTCTAATAAGCCTGCCTTTGGAAACAGTAATATGAAGCAGTCCTCCTTCTCCATCTGCTCAGAAAAGAGGAACAAACAAGCCACGGCTGAAAGAAGGAAGGAAGGAAGGAAACCTGCTCAACCATCTCCTAGGAAAACCATGCCAGAGTGAGAAACGCCTCTCCCCTCCTCTACACACACACACACACAGACACACACACCCCACACAGACACACACAGGCAGGGGAGGAGTGGGGTGCTAAGAAAGGAGCAGGGACACAGATTCAGAAGGTACCAAAATAAGCCACCCAGCGCTGAGCCTCCCCCTCAGTCAGGAGCGATGGTCAAAGACAGAAGCAATTTCAGCTCACTCATGATTTTCCCACCCACACGCATATAAACATATTAAAAAACGGGCTGGTTAATGTGTGCTGGCTTGAGTCATCAGCCATATGATCAAAGACAAGATTTTTTTTTTAAAAAAAAAAGGGGGGGGGAGAGAACTGGTTTACTCACTGTCTTGGGTACAATCTGTTTCTTAGGCTGCCCGATCTTGAACGGAATCCTGGATTGGAAAGAGAAGAGAAAGAAGCAGAGATAAGAAGCTAGGCAAACAAGCCAGCATGTCGTGTTTATCATCATCTATTCAAGGAGGGATAAAATAAAATTGGGGAGCTGAGGATCGCAGAGGCGCTCCCATCTTTCCCACCCCCACCCCCACCAAGCACACCCCCCCAGGAGCCAACTGCTTCTTTGACAGGACCAGAGCAGGGTGGCAATATCGTTAGGAATACTGCAGGCCTGAGGAACTTTGGCAGAGCAAATTTCTGTATAATTTAAGTGGAAAAGCAAATTGCAGGGATCGGGAAATAAAACCACCGCACGTGTCTGGATCAGAAAGGGGAATGTGAGGCACCTATCCTATTGGAAAGCAATAATAATAATAATAATAATAATAATAATAATAATAATAATAATAAGTAGTAGTAGTAGTAGTAGTAGTAGTAGTAGTAGTAGTAGTTGGAAGGGACCTTGGAGGTCATCTAGTCCAACCCCCTGCTCAGGCAGGAAACCCTACACCATTTCAGACAAATGGCTGTCCAGTCTCTTCTTAAAAACGTCCAGTGTTGGAGCATTTACTGCTTCTGGAGGCAGGTTGTTCCACTGATTAATTGTTCTCACTGTCAGGAAGTTTCTCCTTAGTTCTAGGTTGCTTCTCTCCTTGGTTAGTTTCCACCCGTTGCTTCTTGTCCTGCCTTCAGGACAACAATGTCCAGAATGACATAAGGTCTCCTGCTTGAGCAAGGGATTGGACCAGAACAGGGGTCCCCAACCCCCGTTCCATGGACCGGTACTGGGCCGCAGCATGCCAGCAACCGGTCCACACAAACAAGCAAAGCTCCATCCACGGGATGCAGGCAGCATACAAAACCACGCTCTCTGGTCCACGGGAAAAACCTCTCTCCACGGAACCAGTCCCTGGTGCCCAAAAGGGTTGGGGATCTCTGGACTAGAAGACCTCCAAGATTCCTTCCAACTCTGTTATTCTGATCATGTCATGCTCCACGTTTAATGTTTTACACAATTTCCATTCCCTTTCGGTGTATATTCTTTGCGCCGATTACAGGGACATTAGCTTGGTGGACAATACAACTCACTCACACTCTCTCTTTCCACCCACCCACCCAAGTACATTCATACCTACATCACTCTCTGTGTATGTGTGAAACGCCACATGTTTTCAAGCTATCTAATGTTTTTGTTTTATAAGAGAAACTAGTTATGAACAACCTGCAAGGTCAAGGCAGCTTTCTATGCTACTCTAATGTCGTGGGTGCATTTTTCATATTTCTTCAGCAACAGATGATTGGCATACTAACATGTTCGGGTGCATGTGGAGGTAGATTCCAGCCAAAAGAACATTTGATTTCTTTACAAAATTTATATTCCTTCTTGTTTCCAAAGAGATTAAGGGATCCATATGGCTTTAACCTTCCAGACATCAACCTATCAAAGCCCTGAATCTTCTCTGACATTCTTTGAGGTAGATGTGTAAGAATCAGACTATAAATTAATGATAATCTGTGCCCCTCTTCCATCAACCATAGTATGAACTCCTATGTGATGGATGTTTAATGCTTCTAATTGCAAAAAGGAAAGTTCAGACAAGAACAATGACATCGTTACAGGCAAAAAAAAAATCTGTAATGAACAACTTACTGCATAAAGGTTCTGCACTAATCACAAATTTGTTCCACCTAGTTCTCCAGCACCTGATTCAAGAGTACACAACCTTTTCTGAATTTTGGGCCACGCTGAGCATCTGAATAATGTGCAAGAGATGCATTCTCCAAAATAATGGGCAGGATCGGGACAAAAAAATTAAGTTCTGAATGCATTGTATTTACATTTGAATTTAATTGAAATTAAGAACTGTGTTGCTGCAGGTGGCTTTGGGTTGTCTGGTAGCACACCCTAATCTGTTCCAAATGTCAGCAGACTTTATTTTAAGTAGCATTATTTCTACCTTTGGGTTTCAAGATGCTTTCAAGTGGAAGTCCCAGGGAAATGAACCTGGGGGGATTTACTTGAAAACAATGGGCTGCATTGCTTGTGCTATAACAAATCCCTCATATTTGACTAGGATGTAGAGAAGGCAAAGAGCAAAGACTGAAAAAGTGGAAACTACAGTATTTTTTTGAAGAAAGCTCATGGTAAGGCAGTCACATATGCATGCAAAGCAAATTGTCAAACATTTCTTGGAAGAATTCTGTAGTGGTGAATCTCATTTTCGTTGCCACTGAGAAAGAAGCAAAACTTTGCCAAAAAGTGGTTTTCAACCCCTTTAATAGTGGAGACTTAAACTCCCTTCTCACAATGTGTGTATATTTATACTGCTTTCTTCAACTGCTTTGGCAATCAACAAAAGCATCACCAGGTCTACAGAAGAAGGTCAAGACAATCAGCACCACCTTCAAAATCCTGCTTTGATGCAGACATTAAAAATGGATGTGCTTTTGTCAAGCCCATCTTGAAACTCCAAAGTGGAAATAATGCTGCTTAAAATGAATAAAGAGCCCTGTTTCTCTCAGCCAGCAGTTCACCTGGCTCCTTCCGAATGAGGCTCCAGTGAAGAATAGCAGTTCAATCTCTCCCAATGGCCAGGATGGAAATGTTTCATCATATGCTCCTCCTCCAACGCAGACATGTTCTTTCGCCTCTAGCAGAAGCCACTCACCAAAGAACGAGTTCAATACGGTTTACGTGTGGGGATGTATGTGCAAGAGTTATCTAGACACAGTCATGCCTCAAGGCAACCTTAAGAGGCAGAAGAAACCCAGACAGTTTTAAGAAGAAGGCTTCCTCTTGCTGGTTTTGGAAAATGTGAAGGATTAATCCACTATTCCTTTGGCATACTTCTATCCTACTCCTCCAGCAAGGAGGAGAGAACAAGATCTGAGGGGTCTTTGGTGCCCCCTGTGCTTGTTTTCTTGCAGTAGCATTAGCACTTAGACCGGGGTAGGCAACCCTGGCTCTTTTATGACTCGTGGACTTCAACTCCCAGAATTCCTGAGCCAGCCACGCTGAGGGGAAAGGGAGAGATTTCCAAGTTGAGCCATGCTGGCTCAGGAATTCTGGGAGTTGAAGTCCACCAGTCATAAAAGAGCCAAGGTTGCCTACCCCTGGCTTAGACTTATATACCGCTTCATAGTGCTTGACAGTCCTCACTAAGCGGTTTACAGAGTCACATTGCCCCCAACAATCTGGGTCCTCATTTTACTGAGCTCAGAAGGATGGAAGGCTGAGTAAGTCTTGAGCTGATCAGGATCAAATTCCTGACTTTGGGCAGAGTTAGCCTACAATACTGCATTTTAAACCCCTGTGCCACCACGGAGATAGATAGATAGATAGATAGATAGATAGATAGATAGATAGATAGATAGATAGATACATAGATAGATAGAACAGACAGACAGACAGACAGACAGACAATGGGGGGGAGAGAGAGATAATGTAACACTGCAACCTTGAGCCAGTCAGGATCAAACTGCTGGCAGTCGGCAGAGTTAGCCTGCAGTACTGCATTCTAACTACTGCACCACCATGGCTGCTTTATTACCCAAGCTAGGTAACATCACCAGGGCTGATAAGGAATGGGGTTTGCTCCAGCACTGATGATGTTACCTAGTTTGGGTAATGAAACGTCTGCAAGAAAACAACCAAGCTCAGAGAGCACCAAAGGACCCCTCAGATCATGTTCTGTCATCCTTGCTGGAGGAGTAGGATGGAAGCATGCCGAAGGGATAGTGGATTAACCGTTCCCGTTTTCCAAAAACCAAGCAAGGGGAAGAGAGCAGCAAGGACCCTTCCTTTCAACCCTGGGCTACAAATATTCTCCTTTATCAGTAGAATACGGTCTACTTACACCAGCCGTGTAAGGGAAGCCAGGCTGCACCTCGGGCCAAGAGAGTGTCCCAAATTGAGCATATGTGACACAAAGTTTGCTGCGCCTGCTCGTGAGACCACCTGCCGTGGACACTTTGGGCACCATTCCGCAAATACTACACCACAGGAGACAGTGCTCTGCGCTGACCACTATATATAATCTGACCAATGAGGCTGAAGAGAGAGAAGGGTAACAAATAAAGGCTGAGTCATTCTTCTTCCCTCCTTGGCCAAGTTGCCACCATTGTTTTCTAACCAAGTATATAATTTTGCCACCAATAATAAACCTGACCTGAAAGCTAGACCCTTCTGAACAGAGCCTCAAGCCTTAGTCACAAATGTATAAATTTAATTTCTGCAGCACTTCCTGTTTATTGTTCTGCAAGAAAGCTGATGTCATTTTAGTCCATTAACTCTTTCTAGGTTTGTTGCCTTCTTTCCCCCCCCCAATCGCAATGAATTACATGGCTTCCATTAACGACAAGCGTTTGGCCTATAATGACATCGTCAACACATCCGTCAACCCACAATTGGGGGATGGGGGGTGGGGGGTGGGGGGTGGGGGGTGGGAGAGACACAAGAAATAGTAAGGGGAATACTAGGTTTTCCTTTCCATGGGCAAAGCCGTTGAAATCAAGGTAGTTCCACAGTTATTCTTACAGGGAATTAATTAAACAATACAAGAGCTGTTTGTTTTCTGACATTCTTCCCCCATGAAATTACTATGGTAAGTATGTGTTACAGAATGTGCAACAGCTTTTTTTTTTTTTAAATTATGTTTCCAGCCTTCGTGTCTTAGAAAAGAAGGGCAAATCTGGTTGCCAATGTGATAAATTAATTCTGTAGAATAATAAGCCCTCTCTTTCTATACAGTTCGTAGAAATATTCTGCATAAGGAAGTAGGAGAAAATAGAAAAGTCTAGAAAAGAGCTATGAGGAGGGGAGGAGAGGAGAGAAAAAAGCAGCGAATTCTCCCAGTCTGAAATCTTCAGAGATGTTGGAATTATAACTCCCCAAACTCCCGTACTGGATGAGAATTCCAGGAATTGTAACCCCAAGGCATCTGGAAGACACCAAGTTACAGAACAGTGATCCATGATATTAAAGATAATGCGAGAATTAAAAAAATAATTCCAGTTGTATCTTCAGTATGTTTCAGCAAGGAAGTGATTCAGTCTTTGGACTGATTGGGGTGAAAGATAGCAAAATACGATGTCTGAGAAGGTTGGAAATATTAAATGGGCTCTTGACAGGTCACAAGCCTTGAAGATTAAGATAAAGAGGATTAAGGTATTTCACAATGGAAAGTGCCCGGCTTTGAAAGAAAGAGCTTAATATATGCAATAATTTGGAGCCAGGCTCACTGCTGAACTACTTTGAAGTGTGGGAAAGTAGTAAGAATCTAACAGGTTATTCTATGCATCAACAAATGCTTCTGATCTTAGATTACGTACAGCCAGAAGAGAGCGAGAGAGAGTTAAAATATAACTGTACTTATAACTGCCAGAAAGAAGATCAGAGACTACTTCTTTATAACTTTTTTTTTCATTTTTTCTAATTTAGTTTATTATTGCTCTTAAAACACATCTCTGATCCTGTGCTACTATTCTGCTATGAAATCCAGTGCTTTACTGATCAAATGGTGTCTTGCCTTTTTCTGGTAGGATATATGTGTGTGTGTGTGTGTGTAGGTCTTTGGTTATTCGGGTTTTCTCCCGCGTAAAATTGGAAGTGTCTTGGAGACGTTTCGACGAAGTCTCATTTGTTATCTTCAGGCTGGTGTTTTCAGCTTCGTGCTTCAAGGAGCAAATACCTGCTCTTCGCCTCCAATGTGCTCTTCTGGATGAAGTATATAAGCATGAAGCTGAAAACACCAGCCTGAAGATGACGAATGGGACTTCGTCGAAACGTCGCCAAGATACTTCCAATTTTACGCGGGAGAAAACCCGAACAACCAAAGACCTACATACAAATACCCGCGAAAACCTCAGAAAACAAATATATATATATATATATATATAAATTTATAATTGATTGAGAAAAAGAAAAGACATCAAAGTGGCCACTGCCTAATAACTGAGGTCAGAGGCACAATCCAGGCCCAGTTTAGCCACATCATCATCATCCACATATGAATATTCTTTTATGCAAGAAAACTTGCATATTTGCTTTCAGTTTTAAATAGATCTCGCACACAGAAAGGAGAAAGCTATTGATTAAATTATTAATTTAAAAAAGAGCAAATAAGGCTTTCTGATCTTGGCTTAGTCACATTAAACACAGCTTAAATAAAGCAAAGTCTATTCCACGTGCATGCTTTCTGATGGCAAAGTCTAAAATAAAAATAAAATCGTACAAGTCTACAAAACCAAACATTAAAAATATAGATGGCAAAAAAAAAACCCATCAACAGTTATGCTAATTAAAATTTAGATGAAAAGTAATAAAACAGCCTGTTATAATTGCAAACTAGTTGACGAATGCCAGTTAATGGGCAGGTCAAAATGTGCCCATTCAAGTTACAGCAGTACTAGAATGGGAGATGACTAGAAAATTCTGGGGCTGTGAAGATCAAAATGAGAGAGGGGGGGGGGGAAGTTCTCTGGAAAAAGACTATGAGAAATCACTTCTATTGTGTTGCCAAGAAAACTGAGGGCTTGAGTTGGATCTGATCTGAGGTATCCTTATCTTTGCGTAGATCTGTCCCCAGTCATTTCTATGAATATGACATTCAAGATGAGAAAAATGGACTCGGGGTCGTGATCAAACATCTAACATTAAAATATTATTAGGCACTTAACCAAATACGGGAATTTTTGGAATAGGCATCCCACAGAATATAGGCATATTCGTAATGAATGAATGGAAATAACTGTAGTAAACAGCTGGGATTTAACTGGTCATTCTCTAAAGGAATACAGTCATTTGACCTAGACCTTCGCATTTCATACCAATCAAGACTAAGAGTACAGTTCGCAAAAGCCATTGTTGAGCAGTTTTTGCAAGCTTAGATGAAATTGAAGATTACACTAGTATTTCAGAACGTCAGTAATTCTAGAGCGGCCTGACTGGGTTTATATGGTATTGCTCCTATTTTAGCCTGAGATGGCAAGAATTTCTCCAACGATTATCCAAGAGATAATGAAATCCATCCATCCTCTATCACCTAGCACATTCCCCTCATGACATCCAATACCGTATATGAATGGAAAGGTGAGTTAAGAGTGCAAGTTATTTCATATATATCTGTAGGATAGAAAGTTACAAAGTTCTCCTCTTCAAAAATGATATTTTAGAGAGGATTAAAAAAAGCCAGGAACTTGGAACAACATACACACAAACAAACAAAAACTGAAATAAAAGGCCAATCTATGGAACTGAAAGAATGTTCTGAAGGATTTTTTCCATGGCACCTTCTCCATCCGCAGGAAGATTTCAATAGACCATTTAACAGAATAATTAAATCAAACTTATTTTCAAGGTAAACATTGGCGTCACTTTCTAAATTCAGATTAAAGCATTGTATCCCAGTGAAAAGTTTTGGCAAAAGAAATTTAACAGATTTTTTTTTTAAAAAACAACAGCCCCAATAAGCAAAAAAGTTTCCAAAACTCAAGAATCTGCCCTTGTGCTATCATTAGAAGCCCTACACCAAACTTTGGCACATATCTTAAGACTCCAAGGATTCTCAGTAAATTCTGAATATTGTAGTCCCAACTTGTCTGGAAAGCATCTGGCTGGAGAAAGGTGCCTTATTTTATGATCAATGGTAACACTGAAACTAGATCCATGCAACTCTGGATTTTAGTTTGGTCAACTGGTTTCTAATCCAGAGTTGCGTGGATCAGAACTGGAGCCTTAAGTGCAATGCGTGGAAGATATTGTTCATCTAATTAAGCAGTAGCAATCTGCCTCATACCTGACCAACCCAAAGCCTTCCTCTGATTGACTTCATATTCTTGTCAATTGGGCCGGTCAATTTCACAGGGGGATGGACCTTTGAAACACAGCAGGCTACAATACTACACGGAACTTCCAGGTTCAATGACCCCGGTTGATGTCAGTTGACAAAAATAGGCTGACAAAGAGGCAAATTAGGCCAAAGTAAAGGGAGGCAGAGATTTCCTAGAAAAAAAAATGACTGAATAAGCTTCATAAACATTTAGTCTGATTTAGTAGAACTTTTTGGATGCCGTGTTCCTTAATCTGAGGGCTGAATACAGACCATTCTGGATAACTGACTGGACTCAGGTCTCAGACAATCGTTTTCTCAACCATCCGTTTATAAGCATGCATCTGTATTGCAAGTGGGAATACAATCTTGGAGAGAAAATCTCAAACCTGGCATATTAAAAAGTTTAGTCTGTATTTATTAGAAATATATCCTGCATTTATCTGAGAATTAATACATCATCGTCGTCGTCATTGTTATTATTATTTTGTTTATTTATTTATTATTTATTTATTTATGAGACTTATATACCGCTTTAAGTGCAAGCACTCTCTAAGCGGTGTACACCAGTAAGCAATGTATATATATATATATTTACATTGCCCCCAACAATCTGGGTCCTCATTTTACCTACCCCGGAAGGATGGAAGGCTGAGTCAACCTTGAGACGGTGAGATTTGAACCGCTAACCTGCTGAACACAGTCAGCTAAAGTGGCCTGCAGTACTGCACTCTAACTGCTGCGCCACCTCGGCAGTTATTGTTATTTCATTCATTTTGGTTACCATATCACAAAAAAGATGTTGAGAGTTTGGAAAAAAATTCAGAGACGAGCAACTAAGATGATCAAAGGCCTGGAGACTAAAACATACGAAGAACGGCTGCAGGACTTGGGTTTGGCTAGTCTAAAGAAAAGAAGAAACAGGGGTGACATGATAGCAGCATTCCAGTATTTGAGGGGCTGCCACAAAGAAGAGGGGGTCACATTATTCACCAGAGGGAAGGACGAGAAACAATGGTTGGAAACTGACCAAAGAGAGAAGCAACCTGGAATTAAGGAGAAACTTCCCGACAGTGAGAACAATCAGCCAGTGGAACAGCTTGCCCCCAGAAATTGTGGGCATCTCCATCACTGGAGATTTTCAAGAAAAGACTAGACAATCACTTGTCGGAGATGGTATAGGTTCTCCTGCTTGAGCAGGGG